GCAAAATCTGTTGATTATGGGACTTCAAATTTGGACCTCGAATCTGAAATCTTAAGAAAAGGAATTCAATTATAAATTTTCTGAATTCCGATGAAGTTATAATTTTGATGAAAAATAAAATTGTCAAAATTAGTTATTTGAAGAATAAAAAAAATATTTTTCTTTTAAAATCACTAGTTTAATACCTCTGGGATGTATGAATTACGTTTTAAACGTGATATTATCAATTGCTGAGCCTAGACATCGAAAAAATTATGGATAAATTTTTCAGAATTCCAAAAATTTATAAATATATATATATTGCATTCTACACCAAATATGGTAAAAAGTCTTACGACCAAATAAATGTACCATCAAAATTTAAATTAAAACACACATAACACTATGCGATCCATCTTAATGTTACAAATTAGTTTTTTTTTATGAATCCGAATTTTTGGCTATATAATCTTTTTGATATCCGAAATCGGTCTTTAAATATTCTAATTTAAAAAATAATTATCCGTTCCAAAAAAATTTTGAACCCACGACATAAGGAAACTAATTCTTTTAAATTATCAATAGACCACCACCTAGTATTTGGTTTGCAAAGTAGTTTTACACCAAACATATATTAAAAACTAAAACTAATATCTATTCATAAATTATTAATATCTAGTATCGTTACAATCAATGATATATATTGTCATTTCACCACGCACGTAACGTATCAACGTAAAATAACAACTTCTTGAGATATTTTTTCTGTTTAAAAAGTTCAGATATATTTCACTCACAATATGAATATTACAACTCAATAATATATATTTTTGTGAAAATTATAAATTTATTGCTCAACAAAGAAAATTTCTAATTTATTGCTCCAAATCATTGGTAGAGGAAACCTTCGAATTTGTGCGGCCTAGTGCCTTGTACATAAATCGATTCAACTTTGCATTACTTTATCAATGATTCAGGTCTAGCCAACTACGTTACTACAACAAATTAATTTATTATTTCCAAAACATAAGATACGTTAGTTTGATAAAGACATATATATATCCTTATAATTTGTACTTCACCGTCATTATGATTACCATTTGTAATGTTAGAGTTTTAGCTACAACTTAGTGACATATAACTATTCGACAAGTGGATAGTGTAACGGACAAAACTTACACATAATTTGGAGAGATTGAAAATAACAGGGCACGTGTTCGTGTCGTAGAGAGAGTCCAAAACGACCCACCTTTCCTTGTATTCCAAAGTCGAATAATTGAAGAGTAATCAAGAAACTTCGACGAGTCCAGTTGTTTAATTCTTGTTGCATTAGTATTGCGTAATGCACACATTCTGTAAATGTGAGATAATGCGCAAATCATAGTATCATTCAATTGGTACAATCTCCATAAACCAGGTTCGAACTTTACTTGGCAAACAATTATTTAAATGGAAATATATATAAACTTTGGTCTTGACAAAAA